AAATAAACCTTTTGCATAAGAATTAACTCTGGTTCAGACACAGTCTTGTCTACCCCACAACCACACAAGCAGTTTGTACTGTCACAGATGAAAAGGCAGCAATGGGAACTAGAAATTCAGGTTCGGGAAGCAGTAACTGCATAAACTAGCACTGCTGCCAAAAGCAGCAGCATGGCCTAAGGCTAGTTATGTGTATCTCTGAGGCACAGTATACTTGAGAGTCATTCAAATGGAAGCACCAAAGAATAGCTGCAGCTGGAGGGAAAGATACCCAGATTGTCATCAGGATCTCAGCAGACAATGAAAAATGACAGAAAAAAAAGACAAAAGGCAAAAAGACCTTTCCTTACTGAGTTGCAAGCGTGACTTTTCATTGCCAAATCTGAAAAACATGTTTCAGATGAGTCTGCTTGAGGAGACAGAAGGGACTCCTGAGCCAGAAAGACATTAGCAAGCTATCAAGCCCACCTCAGGGTTGTAGCAAGAAATCCAGAGAGAATCTGCTTGAAGACCTGAGGGTCACCATTGCATACATGCCAGGCAGAGGCTCTCTGCTCAAGGAATTTGTCTAAATTTTCTATCCAGCCCTTAAAGAGGTGTGTCATTGTGAAAGATACAAAACAAGTTTAAACTTCCTGTGAATTGTGAACATATATGGAACACACCTACATTTTCAAACTATCCACCAGGTTAGTCAAATGAAAGAGGTGGGTAAGGAGGGTGGAAGATCTTGAGGTGGAGCATGGAGCAAGGGGACGGTGGCTTTTTTTTCCCCCGTTTCCCTCAAAGATTTCTTATGGTCGTACCTCAATGTTTACATAGAGCAGGATATCCTCTTCTTCCTCCAAAACTTTAGGGTCCAGGGCACACCATCATCTCTTGGGGACTCTGCCATCTGTCAGAGAGCCCAAACTCCACTCCTTTGCTAGAAGTATACCCAGAGTCAGTGGAGCAAGTCAATAGTGCACAGGTGCCTAACTATTGACTGTAGGAGACGGATGCTTAATGTTTGTGTCCATGCATACATGTATATGCATGTGTAATAAAAATCTAGGAGAAAACTGCTGCCTAAGGTCAAATACCTTTCTTTCTCACTCGTGCTTTCTTTTTACATATACAGACCTTGGCAAAGATCGAGCCCTTACAGCCAGTTCCTACAGAATAGCACTTCCAGATTCTCCAAAAGAGTTATTCAAGGACAGAGGAATCTTTACTTTCTAGGTAGAAATCAAGAAATGTAAAAGATAGCCAAGTTTAGGTTTCTACAACCCTGAACCCACTTAAGAAAGGAAAACTCCAAATTTGGCTTTCAAGTCATAGTAACTATCAGGGATCAAAGCAGCTGATATGGAAGAAATATGGGAAAATATACTTCAAAAAGAGAAATATCAATATAAAAAAGTATACTTCAGCACTCTTGTGTGAGTGGGTGTTTCTAGAGCCAAACTTCAAAGGATATCTTGCTCTGGTAGAAGTTATGCCTTTTTTGGTCAAATTTTCACAAGTTTGAAGAAGAGGGTACCAGCAGTAAAGGCTGATGATATGTAGTAACAATTGTAGAATGGAACAACACAGGCTAAAGATGACAGGGGCTCATTTATTTCCAGTTATATCACAGTCCTTCAGATTGTTCATATTTTTGGAATACCAAAATGTCAAGTTTTTCAGTGTGGTATGGACAGATTTGAGTTGCAAAACCTTTGGGTCATTATTGGTATACACACACATAGATAAAGATTGGGATTTAGATTAACTGTGTAGTCAATAAAACTTGTTGCATAACTTCACAGGTTTAAGATGAAATCATCACAATCAATTCATAAATTAGTTTCTCCATAACTGACATAGAGCTAATGAGTATGATGTGATTTTATTGATCTTCTTATAGGATGGTTGGAGAGTTCACCTATGACTGACTATCAAAATAAAAATTAGCATGGGATGCTTTATCTCACAGTATATTACCATTAATTTTCTGACTATACAGTTAGTAAGAGGATGCACATTTAAACAATGTGCATTTAAGAAAATCTAAGCATACTGACTCACATTTAATACGTTTAATCTTTTATCATAGACACCACAGAATGATGTCCAAACCTCCAGAGTTTCCTTATACTTAACTCTATATAACTGGGTTTAGCTGAGATAGATAGAGTTAATTTTCTTCCTAACAGCTGGTATAGTGCTGTGTTTTAAATTTAGGATGAGAATAACGTTGATAACACACTCATGTTTTTAGCTGTTGCTAAGAAGTCAAGATCTTTCAGCTTCTCATATTTGCCTGACAATGAGAAGGTGGAGGGCACCCAAGAAGCTGGGAGGGGACACAGCCAGGGCAGCTGACCCAAACTGGCCAAAGGGATGTTCCATACCATATGACATCATGCTCTGTATATAACATTGGGGTGGGTCAGAAGGCAGTTTGGCTTGAGAACTAGCTGAGTATCAGCTTCAGCTGGTGAGCAATTGTGCTCTGCATCACTTGTATATTATTATTATTACTATTACTATTCTTAATTGTCTGCCTTTTCTGTCCTATTAAACTGTATTTATCTCAACTCACAAGTTTTACTTTTTTTTTTTTTCTTTTCAGTTTTCTTCCCCATCCCAACGGGGGTGGTGAGTGAACAAATGGCTGTGGTGGTGTTTCAGTTGCCTGCCAGGTTAACCCATGACATTAACACAAGAAATATTTTAAAGCAACTGATTACACTGTGGTGTTTTATGGAAGCTTTTGAAGGAAAAAAAAATAAATCCCTTCCATCTCCCTCAGAACTATCAGCTCACATGAGACCTCAGAGAATTATTTTTGCAACACAGGCCAAGTGGTGTAGAGTCTATTTGGGTCCCTAGTCAATTAAGACCAGCACAATATCACATACTAAATCAGACATGCAAAGCCAGTGTCAACATTGCTGTAGTTCTTTTTGGTATCCCTTTTGGGCACTTCTCCCCTTTACAAAAGAAGGTGTGCTCCACAGTTTAAGAAGCATTTTTTAACATAATACCACTACAATACAGTACATGAGAACTCATAGACTCTAAAGGCTTCCTAAAGCCATAGCAATTTATGGTTTTGATAGATTGACTGAAAAGATCAATTAAGATAATTAAGCCAGCCATGCTTAGGTGGTTTGTTTTTTTGTTTTTTTTTCTTGTTTACAGATTGTGCATACACACCCAGCACAAGTAATAAAACATTATCTTGGCAGATTTGATGTGCTTTTGTATTACTCAGAAAATGCTTGCATGCATTGAAAATTTAGCATGCCCTAGGAGGGACATTTATCTTTTCAGAAAGATAATGTTACACTGACCATCTTGTCTGCCTTCAAATTTCAACTGACTTTAACACTGATATGATAAAAATCTGAAATTTTATTTAAACTTATGTTTAGCCAATGATTAAATGTTAGAGAGATAGCTTCAATGCAAGGTACTTGGTAGAGCTATACAGCATATAACAAGGTGGGATATTCTCTAGTTATATGCATGGTCATGTTCTTCCAAAAATTATAGAATCATAGAATAGTTTGGGTTGGAAGGGACATCAAAGATCCTCTAGTTCCAACCCCCCTTGCCATGGGCAGGGACACCCTCCACCAGACCAGGTTGCCCAAAGCCTCATCCAACCTGGCTTTGAACACTTCCAGGGAGGGGGCCTCCACAACTCTGGGCAACCTGTTCCAGTGCCTCACCACTCTAATAGTGAAGAATTTCTTCCTAATATCTAATCTAAATCTACTCTCCTTCAGTTTAAAGCCATCACCCATTGTCCTGTCACTACATGCCCTTGTAAACATTCCCTGACCATCTCCCTTGTAGGCCCCCTTCAGTTACTGGAAGGCTGCTATAAGGTCTCCTTGGAGCCTTCTCTTCTCCAGGCTGAACAACCCCAACTGTCTCAGCCTGCCTTCACAGGAGAGGTGCTCCAGCCCTCTGATCATCTTCATGGCCCTCCTCTGGGCTTGGTCCAACAGCTCCACACCCTTCTTATGTCCTTCTGCTGGATGCAGTACTCCAGGTGGGGTCTCATGACACTGCAGTACAGGGGGAGAATCACCTCCTTTGACCTGCTGGTCACACTTCATTTGATGCAGCCCAGGATATGATTGGCTTTCTGGGCTGCAGGCTCATATTGCCGGGTCATGTTGAGCTTCTCATTGACCAACACCCTCAGGGCTTCTCTCAATCCATTCTCCGCTCAGCTTGTATTTGTGCTTGGGATTGCCCTGACCCATGTGCAGGGCCTTGCACTCAACCTTGTGGGACTTCATAAGGTTCACACAGGCCCACTTCTCCCACTGTCCATGTTGCCAACAAAGATGTTAAACAGCACCGGTCCCAATACCAACTCCTGAGGAGCGCCACTCATCACTGGCCTCCACTTGGACATTGAGCCATTGACCACAATTTTTGCTGCCCTAAAGATTTTGAACGGCATCATTTCATGGTCACTGCAGCCAAGTCTGACCTTGAGCTTCACATTCCCCACCAGCCCTTCCTTGTTTGTGAGAAAAAGTACCTGCACGGCACTTTTTTTTTTAGGTCATTACATTTTTTATTTTATAACAGACTCATTTTTCCCCCCAAAAAAAACCTGTGAGTGAGGCTACAGAACATCATCAGTGAAGAGTATGCGAGACAGACCCAGGCCATGTGCCAGGCCAGAAAAGATCCCCACTCCCCCAGGCAGAAGGGATCCATTCTCAGGAGCCTCAATAGCCCTTGCTCATCTCCCCACTGCATTAGAGCAAGATCATCCCTGTCAATGGGAGTCACTGAGCAGCAGAGATGGGGTTGGGTCAGGCTATTGATGGACTGAGAGGGCCATGCTTTGTTCCTCCCACCCACCAAAGCTGCCAGTAAGTTGGGACAGTGGGTTAGGTGATGCAGCTGTTTTCTTTACGTGTACATGACAAATTTTAAAAAACCCACATTATTTAATTCAAAGCAAAAAAATCAAGTGGTAGCTCTTCCTGTTAGGCCATCTCACTCTAGAAAGACTTCATACATTCCTTCTCCTGTTCAATAGTCTCCTTGGAGGGCAGCATGTTCTTCTCTGTTGTTTTTCTTCAGCTTCCTCTTGTTGAATTTCTATATCTCTGAGAGGTCTGGCTTGTCACACATTTTGCTGTCCTGACCTGTCCTGTTCTGCTCTGCTTCTAGGTGTGAGAATTGAACATAAGAGGTTAAAAACACTGTTGTCTGCTTATCTTTTGTGCAAAAATTGCAGATGGAGATCCACGAAGTCAGCACAAGAAGCAGCTCAAGGAGGGAGTCTTATGGCGGCAAGATGGTCCTGTTTTGGCTAAAGAATGTGGAATAAGCAGATAAACAGTTTCAACACAGAATCTGGAAGGCCATGGTGCCCAGAGTGAGACCTTTTGCTTAATTATCCATGAAATGAATATTAAAGTTAACACCCTGAATATGATAATGAGCTTAAAGAAGTACATGCTAAACATATATGACTCTCCACTCAAATCATGTTAAATGTCACACCAGGGAGGGGAACAGCTAAGGTTAGGGTATAAAGGGTATTGAGGAAAATACCTCTGAGAGGAGAGAAGAGATTGAAGACCCAGAAGAGGCAGTCAATGGGCTGTGCTCCTTCTCCACTCAAGATAGAGATGCCTTCTTGGTAAGCATTGAGCCTTCACCTTCAGGTGAAAAATACACAGGATAGCATTTTGCTCGCACTATCATCATATATTAGTGCTATTACAGTAAGTGTATTTATCAGTGACAATTCCAAACTTTTTATATCTGTCGCCTTAATAAATTTCCTATCTTTTTCAACTTTGTGAAACTGTCTCAGTGAAAGTGCCTTAGAGGGTTCTGACAAGCAAACACTGACTCTGATAAGTGGCTACACATTTAAACCTTTAGACATAAACCATTGACCAAGTCTGGGACTAAGACTGGACCTAGCCACACCTAGGCTCCTCTCTGAGAAGGAGTTTAGAAAGCAAGGGGGTCCTTTCTGAACCTTGTGACTCAATAGGAGGCCCTCCCTCGATCACACATCAGACTCTCACCCTTTTACACAACACCAGGTGAAGCTGTGACATGTACAAATGATCTGTACATCTGTCAAGATAATTATTGCTGCAGACAATGAACTGAGTAATTTGAGTAAAAAAAATGTAGGTGGTAAAAGAAGTAAACTTGTGCTTTCCCTTTTTTGAGAAGTATGGCGACATACAGAAAACAAAATCATCACTTTTCAGCCTTTTTATTAGTTCACATTGTCATACATGAAAACGTAAAGACTTAAAAGGAAGATTCCTCCCCCCCAAAGATTAACTTAATATCTTTCAACTATAGACATCTCCAGTGTAGAATTCTACAGATGATTTAGTTAGTAAACATTTTTAAACTCTGTGGAGAGAAATAGGCACACCTCTGGCAAATTTCATGTCTTTCAAAACCACTTGAGGTACAAGTGCATTGACAATTTTATCCCACAACATATAAAGGCAGTATAGGCAAAAAGGTTATATAGAGAAGATTACATTCTGTTCATCTGAAATTGAGTCCTCTCGTAAGGAGAGACTCTTTCAAGGAGCCCACAGAAGTAGTTTTAAGAATAATGATTAGGGTAAATTCATAACAATCAAGACACAGATTTCAACCCAATTCTTCTACATGGACCTCATTTTTTTTTCCAGTCTTCTATCAACATTGTTCAGCCCAAATCTCCTCTACAAGGAGTTATTCCCAGCCTCCTTATAATAATAAGCCACCTGCAAAAGCAAGTTCACAAAATCCAAAGTTGATTAATTTAGTTTCTTATTGGATTAACTGCCCTATCTCCCCTAAATGATTACAAAGGGAGCTTATAGCAACAGAAAAGTTATTGTTCCCTAGCCAGATGACTCTTACAAACTATTCTATGACAACTGTCATAGGAGAACAATCACTTACAAGGTTATGACCAAATGAAGCTCAAAGCCTTGAATTATCTACTAAATAATTAAATGCCAGCTGCAAATTCCAGATATAGAAGCAGTGACTGTACAACTACCTTACATCCATCCAGTATTCCCTGGAGAAAAATACATGTGCCTGCACTGCATACATAAGAGATCCAGTGCCTTTGGCCTGTATCAAATTTAGTGTGTGTGAACTAACTGTACAACGTGTGAGCAGTAAAACTGACACTGCTGGGAATTCACACGGACACAGGAAAGCCATCTAGTGACTCCCAGAAGCTCCATGTAGGCTCTCTGTGCCCTGAAAACTGGATAAATAGAAAAACGTATTCATATTCCACCTGCATAAGCTAACACGAAAAAAAACCCAAACCAAACCAGAGGATAGAACCTGAGAAATCCAGCGGCATGGTAATCTTGGTTTGTGATAACAATAATCCTGAGCTTGAACATGATGTTTGCCATGAAAATAGTATCAGAAAGTTTGCCAGAAAAAGGATGCTTAAAATCCTTAAAATGTTAAAAAAAAAATGCCTCCCTAATCACTAAGGGGGAGACTTGGCAAAAATGCCAAGACTATTCCATAGAATGTATTTACATTGGTAATAAGTGCAAGACAATAGCACTTGAATATACTTCCAGTGTTAATGCAAATTGCAGCACAGTGGACACAGTTGTAATAGGTGGCATTCTTTTTATAGCTCATGATTGCTTCCACCTCCTCAGAGCAATTATCACTTACACAGTAGAAAAAAATTACAGTGACTAGGGAATTCTGTGACTAGGGAATTCTGATGATGATAGCTTCTTTGTTCCTTTCCACACCCACCCACCCCACCGCCCAAAAAAAAAAAGATCTTTTCTTTTTTGCTTTTCAACACTTTCTATGAAACTACATCAATATTCCTATATTAAAATGTTACATTGTTTGTGCTGGCTTAAAAGCCACTAAAACTATTTAATTCTGGATCAGGTCAGATTAATGTTAATCTCTACACTTGATTGTAGTGTTATTTCTGGTGGAAATTTTATGTGAATCCATACTTGAATGGGATAGGTTTTACCTGAAATTTTCATGATGACTGTATATAACCACTACTTTTCTATTATTCCTATTCCTATTTCTATTCCTATTCCTATTATTATTACATTTCAATGAAAGAAAATGTAACATCTGTTCCCTGTCAGTTACATGACAGAAATAAAATTAAGCTACTTTTCATACACACAACAACTAAATGCATTCATTTATACTGCTTTTGCAATAAGTAGCAGTTAAAAGGCTCTTGGAGTTAATAATGCAGGATTCTACTGATATTTCAAGTGTGGCCTTGGGCAAATCACTTCACCTCTCCAAGCCATTCAATCTCCACCCAGGAAAAGGGGCTAATAACACTTATCTACCTCAGAGGTGATATTAGGCTTACTTCATTACTGTTTATAAAGGAGCTGATAAACATCTAGTTTCCAGGATACACGCTATCCATTATCACTAACGGATTAGCTCCTATTCGATACACTATATGAGTTCAAGCTCTCTATATTATTTCCATTTAACTGGAGCTAAACAACTGTGACTCTGAACTGCAAAATGTCAGGAAATATTTTCCTTTTAATTTTTAGCCTGTAGGAAAAATATGAACTTTGAATGGATATCTGTCAAGTAAATGTTGTTCCTAACAAATAATTCATGATTTTTTTTCTACACGCTGATCCTCACAAACAAATAGCTCTTACATCCTCACTTTTATGAAGTTCAGCATTATTCATACTATGAACCATGTCAAACAGAGTAAATGAAATATATATTGTTGTGTCTACAAGTACAGACTGGCTTCTTGATAAGAAGAGATAAGGGTACCAAAAATTTTATTGAGATGAAACTGTAGCGCACAAATTAATCTCCTGTCTCCCCAAAATATAAAAATATAGTATCAGTGCTTGGCAATTGCCAGAGACACTACCGTGCCTAATTTCATTGGGATTTTTTGTAATTCCTAGTCACAATGCTATATGATGACACCAAAATGAAAAAGTATGACTCAACCACCCTATAAGGAACTAGAGAAACGTGATACTCACCCACATGCACAGGATGCAAAACAGAAAGGAAATGTGGGGGTGTGGTTCCAAGCACAGTAGGAATGGGGATCCTAATCAAGCTAACAGAGGTAACAGATTTCTTTTAGAGATACAGCATGCCCTACAAGCTGAATTCAAGGAAATTTGAGGTTTTGAGAGGAATACTGTGATCACAGCCAGGAGCCAATAGGTGGGGGAAACTCAAAATTTAACAAGATGGTGAGGTCTAACCAAGTCACAAACTTGCAGACAACTGATCTGTATTATATGACCTCTGAGTACAGCTCCTAGCAAACTGGTGCTTTAGTGCCAGCACATCACGGCAGCTCTAGGGAAGCTCTGAGCTCAGCCAGAGGTCAGCAAAATTGCAGGATCAGTAAGTAAGATCTTTCCTTTTTGAGAAGCAAAACCACCCAGCCTCTGCTGAGCTCAAAACTTCATAGGATCTATGATCCAATAACCTCTGTTTGTCCCAAAAGCAGACAATAAGACAAAAGATTCCATCTTGCCACAAGTGGATACCATAATTTGGGAGTCAACTTTCACTGTGCTTGCAGATTCTCAGAGGGCACAGTGGCTGACAGTGAGTTCCTGCAAACATTACAAATGGAAATGTGTATCTCAGAATTAAAATATAAATTTTTAATCATTTGGTTTAGGCAGAAGTCCTCTTCTTCATTCACAAAGCATAGAGCTGGAGAATCAAGAGGTAAAGCAAACAGTTTTACATGTATATAACAATTCATTGCAGGTAAGTCTTAGTACACTGCATGCCTTCATGCCCGGATCATTAGAGGAGGGAGACAAGTGTATTTGAAGGAATGTAAGTAAGTAGGCTATAATGCCTCCAGATGTGCATGTACTACAGAATGCAACAACTATGATCACTTAGAAAGCCTTGTCCAAATGCCATCAGGCACACAGCAAAGCCTTCTCAGTGCCTAGATAAAGATACAGATATTTATTGAGAGCAGACCCAGGCTTTATTCAAGACCACTCCAAATAATTTTCTACCTTATGAGCCTGCAGGCATGGTCAGAACACTTTAGCATTCCTGTGCCTACTGTATTCATTAAATGCCAGGCACACACATGCAGATCGCCTCCAGAT